AAGTGTGGTGCGTCCGATTTCGGTCCCCTGGTAAAATTTAAAATCCGGTCTGGTCCTTAAAATAACGGACGGTGCAGAGCACTACTTGCCACATACTACAAATTGGAAAAATCCATATTCATAACAATAATACTATGGTCGGATCAACCGGAGTGGCGGGCGAGAGGGGTTCTATATAGTATAGTATAGTCAATACTTCAGTGCGAATACAACTGAAAGTACTGAAGTACCTTTAAATACTAATGCACATTGTAATCTATAGGCTGAACATATCATACATGTTATGATAATTGTTATAAAAAACAATTTTAAACGAAACATACTATACCCGGAGAAAGACCATTTTGATTAAAATAGTTAGATAGAACAATATATATATATATATATAATATTAAATCAACATGATTAATATTAAACAAATATTAACAATTACAATGAAACTTTTGTCCTTTTAATGCAAAGCTATATTATAATATATACTATTACATACACGTTTTCTTATTAGTATTTATAATTATAACAATTGAATAAATTATATTAAACAAAGTAATTACCTATTCTAAATTTCTAATCAATATCATTATCTACCTATCTTATAAATTGATTAACCAAAATAACATGAACTTACATGTTACTATTACTTATATCACTTAATATATTTTTAAATAATATAAGAATTTTTTTGTAAATTAGTGAACTGATAAATGATTACAAATAAAAAATAAGTTAGATCATTTTATGAATATTTGATTTTACCTATTCATCTTCATCATATATTTGACCATCTTCTATTGAGTTATTACTGCTAATTTGTTCAATGAAAATATCACCATAGAAGTCTTGTACATTAGCTAACACTGAAAATGTTTAATAAATACTTTGCATTTTTCTGTTTAGGTAGTTTAACGTGATTTGTTTTGGGTAATTTTTCAGCTAAATCATTACTTTCCAAATTAGCTTGCTTTTTCAGTACATTTATTTGTATTGGTTCTTCAACATACGATGGACTTACTCCAATAGTAACACGAACAAAATAAATTATATATGAGCATGATTAATAATATTTTGGAGGGATGTGGTATCATAGAATCTATATTGTGCAATATCTCATATTGTACTGATGTAAGGAACGAGATTAATACTTTTTATGAAAATGTTAAGTACATAGAGTTTTAAATAAACGCTTGGCATAAATAGAATTAGCAATTAATATACATATATATAAATAAACTTTTTTTAATCATTTATTTTTTCAAAATTATAAATAAAATAAAAATAAGTACATTATGGATAAAAACCATTTAATCATTAATTCCAAATGTATAGGAAAAAGAGCGTTTTGTTTGATAATAAAAATGGACCTTTTTGAAAAATAATTCAGAAAATAGTGCGTTTTGCAGTAGGTTACTTAAAGTATATTTTTAACAATGGAAAAGGTCCATTTTTAAGCAAAATGGAAAAAGAAGGTTTTACAGAAAACGCAGTTTTTGAATCAACGTTTTCTTAAGGAAAAATGCCTTTTTGGCTTAAAATAATGGTACCCTTAGATTTCCAATATAATTTACCATAAGAATCTATAACTTAATTTAACTTAACTTAATTTAAATACATTTTGCATTGAAGCCGCTCTTTTATCTTTGATTACTAATGTAATAAGCATTTAAGCCAAAAACACATTTTCTGTACAAATACCAATATATTTTGTACAATGAAGAGATAATATTTCACGAAATACGAATAATGTTACCTAAATAATATGTAACGGTCAGAGACGACGAACACATACTTTTATTGGGCTTCCCTCCATGTATTTAACTTTGTGATGATTTAATTTACTGTATAATCTTGCAGTTGGTCATTATTTTGCTCTAACTTAGTGGATGGTGGTGGTGGTGGTAACTAATTTGTATACTACGCCCACCAAATGAAACAAAAGTCGGCGTCACTAGCAACAGTAATAAATAATAATTATTAGAAGTCTCAGATAATAAACGTTCTGAAATATCGTCCCTGTAGAGCATTATCAGATTTTTGGGGTCACAGGGAGTGTAATGACGAAGTGCCCTCGTTATATTTAAGTAAAACTAAGTGACCCGGGGGCAATAGTTGTTCCCTTTGTCCACTTAATACGACCCTGCCAACAGCTTACTTAACAGCTTACTACTCCTTCCATAATAAAATATAATCCGGCCATTTCCATTATGCCATAAGCTACAAACCATGTTTGGCACTGCTGAAGTACGTAAAACAATACTATTTTATGTGAAAATGTAAAACTTTTATTAGTTAAAATAAGTGTGAAAAAATAATAGAATGATATTCACGAACTTTAAAAATTTTCGTTGGGTTTTGCGTATAAAAAGGGCACGTAATAGTTTTTGTTTATCAAACATGTACGAATTTCAAACATAAATTTGATATGTATTTTTTCAATCAGTTTGAAGAATGAATATCTAAATCGTTTATAAAAAACGATCAAAATATAAATATGATAAAGCCGACTCCTCGGGCGTGTAGTTTATTTGGTTTTTAACATTTGTACTAAATTTATTTACGTATGCATGTATTTCAATTTTATATTTACATCAATATTCATATTACATTTTATACACGTAAAAACAGTAGATAAGCATTTTATTTTTTTGGTTATTGGAATGCATACTTGTTAAATATTTAAATACTTTTTTTGTACTTGAAATACATAGAAATACTTTTGGACAGAACTATTTTAAATATTTTTAAATACTTATTATTATATTTTATATTTAAAAATTTTAAATACAACATTTTTAGTTTGGTTTTTTGATTTTGAAGAAATTGCTTATCGTCGACGAGAGAAAGTGACGATTATAAATGTTGTTACCGACAAAAAATATTTAAAAATATGAAAAATAGTTTTTCCGTATATCGTTTATCTATTTGGCTATTTATATTTAACAGTATCGTAGCACGGTGACACCCCGAATCCATCCCAGTATTCTGATGTGTCAACACGTTATTCGTTAATAATCGTTAAAATTAATTTGTTACGTTGGTCGCTACTCACTAGAAATTAATGTAATTTTGTCGTAATGTTTTAAGAATTAAAAATCTGACCACAACAAAGTTTAAAAAAATGTATTTAAAAGTATTTAAAATATTTTTTGAATATATTTGTATTTGTATTTAAATACTTATTAGCAAAGGTATTTAAATAAATATTTTAATACTCTTAAATTGAAGTATTCAAATACCTATTTGAAATACTTTTGAAAAGTATTTTTAACAACATTGCAGTGATGGCATTTCCCGCTTCTTGGATCCAGTCTTGGTGAAGTGTTTTCCAATTAAAAAATTATATTCAACATTAAATATCAGAGAATAAAAAAAAAAAATGAAATTTTTACTTTGAAGTTATTAAACTCTTACGGTTTGTAAAAAAGCATTTTTCCGTCCCTGGAGAATTTTTCATTAATATTTTATGCTCGGGGTATAAAAATATACCAGAAAATATACCATATGTAGTAAGAAAATATTTAAAATAATGTTTTATCTTGTTTCGTATATTTGTAAATTGTATTGCATCCGACTGATTGTATACGTGCAACTTTCAAACTTATCCGATGTATCGATGATGTAAAAATACTCGATTGGGTAGTAATACATAATTTCAATAACGTCAAAGATGATATCGTATAGCAACTAGGGTTTTATTTTTGGGACGGAAGGGCTTATTTTCTTTTCTTTGGTACTATCTTAGTTTATGACTTTCTTTTATTAAATTTGCATCTGAACCTAATAACGTGGAGGATAGATAAATAATTGGCCCACCCAGTTGCTCTCTATGCCACGGTACGAACAGGGACGGGTTTTATAACAGACCAAGGAAGGGGCTAGTAGAGGCTCAAGAATTTAGTTGGTTGTTTTTTAAATCTATATAAGATTTTAAATTACAGACTATGTTTAAGTCCCTTATAAATAAGTCATTTTTTTTCACAATAGTGACAAATTTTAAATAGTTACATTATTGGTATCAATTTTAATCTGAAACCATTTTAAAAATATAGGTACCATATTCATCAATGACGGTTGACAATATTTTATAATAATTATTAATATATCAATAAATCATAGTACTTGGCCTTGTAAAATAGTTAGCTTAATTCCAATGTAGGGGCTAATTCCCCCGTAGCTACCCCCTTAAACCCACGTCACTGGGTACGAACACGCAGTGGCGTAGGAAGACTGGCTACTCCCCTGGCAAACTTAGAAAAAGTTATCTTTCTAACCAATTAAAATTTGATGTGATATTTTATTAATATTTCTATGTATACAATTTATACATATAAGTTATTATTACAGTGTTAATTTTAAACTTTGAACATTTGCTTTTCTTGCTTTATGACTGGCGAATTCATCGATCGTTTCTTCATATGAATTTTTTTATTTAAGTACCCTATTTTCTTAATTTCAACATTAAATTCACACGTACACGTGTACAAATAGACAACAGCTAGGTACGTATTTTAAAAAGTATAATGGAAAAATTTCGATTCAATTGTAGGATGAAATACGACTTTTGCACAATTTTGCGCCTTTGGCGCAGACACAGTTCGCCCTTGCCATTGCTACGCCACTGCGAACACGCAATGACGACAAATATTGAACAGGCGCATCCAACAAGCATTCCTTTCGGGTCGTTTTTCCTGGTTTCTTGAGCAACGGATTCCGTGCTGTAGGCAATGTCCCACAATAGGTAAATGACCCAATTGGTGCGAACATTGCGTGTACGTTTGACGGCGACTCGTTGTTGGACGGCCGCGTGCGCCCGTCGGGGCTGTTGCCGCACGGCGACCGTTGTGTCATAGCACGCAATGTTAACGGGCGACAGCGTAACGTTGTGTAACGCGTGCCGCGTGTTTCATCATCGTCGCCGTCCTTTCTCCCAGGCCCGGCCGCCGCTACGTAACCGACGACAGTATCGTAACAACACCACTGCGTTACCGTGCGCCCGGTGCGCGGCTAGTTTTTTCGCGTCCGAAACGGTGCCCGATCGTTGCGAACGTCCCGAAATTGAATTTTATGTTTGTTCGCGATCCGTCAGCGTTTGGGGCCATTCGAGTGTTTTTCGTACCGACGCGGAAAAGCGGAAGCGACGGGAAAAACACCTGTTCGACGACCTTGAAAACCAACATCGTTAGTCATCGATTATTATTGTTTCGTTTCCCGTTGCGGGTCTCCGTCCCGCGATAATGCCTTGATAACGCTTGCCGCTATCTTATCCGCCGCTACTACGACGAGACTTCACTGACCTTTGGCTCTCGTTTTGTTTATAAATATAAGCCCGTCGCCGTACGTTGTTGCCGCCGTCGGCACTCCTCCGTGTCGCTTGGCATCGGTCGCCAACAGATCAACAGCTGTGACCCATCTGTCGAATGATCGTTTCAAGAATCCCGACGATTATCACCGCGCATCGTATACGGCCGTCGACGCTCAACGACGATGGATTCGTTCCTGGACCTGTTCGATCCGGGCACCAGCCCTCCGTCTAATTGCGACGTATGGCCAGCGGAGGACAATGACGATGTCACCGCAAGGCTACCGCCGGAGCCTCAGATGGGCAATGTCGAGTACAAACTGAAGCTGATCAATCCGTCCAAGTTGCGCTTTGAACATCTGGTCACGCAGGTCAGTCCATGGCGATGGTGTTTATGTGTCATGTTATAGTTTTGTTGTCCTGGATTTGAACGGCAATATTTATCCATGTATTTGTGTTTTCTTTCAAACATTGTCCGACGTTCAGCTGAAATGGCGGCTCAGAGAGGGTCACGGCGAAGCCATTTATGAAATCGGCGTTGAAGACACAGGCATGCTGACCGGCTTGTCTGCTGAGGATATGAAATCTAGTCTAATCACCTTGGATGAAATGGCCCGTAAATTAGGTGCTACTACGTCGGTGCTGCGAGAGAGATCAGTAAAAAAAGACAAAATGGTTGCTGAAGTTCTAGTTCGAAAGGTCTGTATCTATTCAATATAACAAATATATAACAATATAACAATATTACTATTGATGCAAACTTTGTTCATATCTTAAAACTGGTATAAATAATTTATGTTTACCTTAATGATAAACGATAATAAAAACTGTAACGATGAAGAACATTTGGAAATTAAGTTAAATTCAATCATAGTAATATTTTATCTTATGATAGATTATATTAAGTGATGTATTGATAAATATATTTACGCAATAATAAAATATGGATATGGAGTCTAAAAAAAAGTTCTCGCTTGGCTTGACACATTTTTTTTCTCGCTACTGTCAAATAAATCAAATAAATTCCTTACATGTTTATAACTTCTAATAAGACTAGAAATTCAACACCACAAGTCATAAATTTACTGCATATTATAAACTGCGTGATGCACATTTAGGAATCTTGGACTGAATGTCCATACTCTATATTATACTTAAAAAAATCTATTTTTCAAAATGTTATTCACTAAATTGAACTTAAAATACATTAAACACAGTGTATACTGTAATATTCAACAGATAAATATTTTATTCAAACTTCATAAATCATAGAAAATTTTTTCAATGAACAGTTAAAAAAAATTTATTTGTTTTTCAAGTTATTTTATGAGTGTATACCCGTAAAATAATGTTTTACATTAGGTTTACACCAAAAATCTTTTTACGAGTATACAAAAATAGGAAAAGTTCTTATCTTTTTTATTTATTTGTATTTCTTATTATGAACTTTGGTTTTCATTTTTAAAATTTTTTACCATTTGAATTTCATACAATTTAATTTCATAATTTTAATATTTAATTTCTCATAACTTATTAAAGATATCAATATTTGTAATCTAATAGTATTATACCGATTGGTGTCTTTTGTTGTTATAAACAGTAGGTTGTTTATGTTTATATGTGTTGCCCATGAAATTGTTTAAATGAAGGTCAAGAAATTTGTGTCAATTATAACCTCTAATAAAAACAATTTGTGATGACAGTACAATAAATATATTTCATAGTATTTTTCTCAATAGTAATTTGAAATTTTATTGAATTTAAAAATATCTTTATTTTTGTTTTTAATTGTGTATCAGAAAGGTTATCTTAAAATATAGATAACATTATAAGATGTTTTCTTACATTTTTTATCATTCTAAGTTAATCAAGAATTTATTTTTCTCAAATTTAAATTATTTATTTGTAGTGTATTAATATGTATAGTAAAATATTATCAATATTTTTATGAAATATCTGAAATTTATTTTAACAAAAAAAAAAAAAAAATGCAATGCAATGTGTTTGTATAAAATGTATAGTAAATATTTTATATATTTGTAATGAATATTTAGTAGTTGTATGATTCTTGGTAAATCGAGGCCAGAAAGACAAATAATGCATTGTCTGTGCTCTTTCATACTCCATGGGTAAAAAAATGTAAAATTAGCTTAAACATTCTATTCTAACCAATGAAATTAAAAATAATTAATTTGCATTTTTTTACATTTATAGTGATATTGATTGTTATGCATATTTTTATTTCTTGTTTTATTTCATAATTCAACAAAAATTGTAAATTTGAAACCTATTAAATAAATAAATAAAACCACAAAATTCAACTGAGTTCACATCAACACAACAATATTTTAGTGTTTTAGGATTTTATTATAAATTTGTTTTTAAATTATTTGGTCAATTCATATAACAATTATAAAAATTTGTATACCATATTATATCAACTATATCAAATGTTATTAAATAAGTCTTATTTAATTTAATTTTTTTATAATTTGTCTATTTTTTAATTTTTTTAATTGGTTTCTAAAATAGTTGAGGTGCAAATTTACCTATTTTATGAATATTATGATTACTTTCGGTACATGATATGTTAGGCCTTGGTCATAATGAAATGACAAAAATAGCAAACATATTCAAATAATGGCTCTCATCCATAATCAGAAATTCTCATTCAGTATGCTATTTGTGCGAAAAACAGTTATGTTTAGTTAACTACATATTCAAATAATTAATCATAATGATAATGTTTTTAGAATATAAGAAATAAAATAAATAACTATTTTTGAACAATAAAAAACCTATTGACTTAGCTATTTTATCATTAACTTAACTATTATTATTTGTTTTAATTTTTATAATTAATTGTTATGATTATTGAATAGATGGTAATACAAACATAACATTTATTATAATTCTGAAGATTTAGAAAAATAAACTTAATTTCAGAATAGATTTTAGGATTGAACTAAATTTTGCTTATATTTTTGCTAGCAATTTATATGCCTATATTTTATAAATCGGTTAATTTTAAAAATGTTATAAATTAATATAAACTTAAAATGTAAAATTTATATATTTTTTTAAATATCAGAAATACATTTAGGGTTATAAAAATATTTCTCTAAAAATATTATATTATATTTTATAGCTACAATAAATTAATAAAATTCATTCTGATAACTGTTAACTGCTAACAATACACACAATACACAGTTCATGTTCTAATGATCATAATAATTAAGTATTGATATAGTAATAAATAAATAAATATATATATATATATATATATATGTGCTGTAATATATGCTCTGTTAAAATGAATGCTAACACAATATTATTTTTAATGTTATAAAATAATAATTAGGAAGTTATGTAAAACAAATATAATAAAATATAACATAATACATTTTGAAATAGGATTAGTTTTAATCATATGATGTTAATTCATAATGATGATTAATTTATTGAAATATGTATGATTTAGGTTCCAGATGACCAAGAATGTATAGAAGTGATGGTTGCTGTATTAGGAGGTGCTGATGCTGGCAAGTCAACTCTTCTTGGTGTATTAGCACATGGTGAATTTGATAATGGTCGTGGTAGTGCTCGATTAAATGTTTTAAGACATTTACATGAACTACGATCTGGTCGAACTTCTTCCATATCTCATGAGATTCTTGGTTTTGATACTGAGGTAACCAAAAGTATATTAATGTTATGCATTAATTTGTATGCAATAATAAATTTATACTTAGTTTTTTTTTTTTTTTTAATCATTTTTGTTTTAGGGAGATGTTATCAACTATCAAAAAGCCCGTACAGCCGAAGAAATTCGAGATCGCTCATCAAAGCTGATCACATTCCTCGATTTAGCTGGACATAAAAAATATCTTAAAACTACTGTAGCTGGTTTGAGCGGTTACTGTCCGCATCATGTTATGTTGGTTGTGAGTAGTCCAGCTGTAACTGTTTCTAGTCCTACTCAATTGGATATGACCAAAGAGCATATGGATTTGGCATTAGCACTTAGACTTCCATTTTGCATTGTTGTTACAAAAACTGATATCACTCCAGCAGATAACACAATTAAATGGTTGGAGTCTATATTGAAATCCATTGGATGCAGAAAAGTAAATTTCGTCAAGAGCTAATTTTTTGACTGTATCTAAGTTAACAAAAGTATTATTTTTAACTTTAGGTTCCTTTTGTTGTTAAATCTGATGATGATGTTTTAACAGCGAGCTCTGCACAGCCAACTCAAAATGTTGTGCCTATATTTACCATTTCTAGTGTTACTGGTGAAGATTTAGACTTACTCACAAAATTTTTATATGTTTTACCACCAAGTATTAGTATAAAAGATAAAGAAAGATTGGAGCAGGTAAAAAAATAATGGGATTTTACTAAAAAATGTATAAATATATATTGATTAATGATTATTTAGGAGTGCTGTCAGTTTCAAATAGATGAGATTTTTAAAGTACCTGATATTGGTACAATTGTTGGTGGTGTACTTGTCCAAGGTGTTGTTAATATTGGTACAGAACTAGTTATAGGTATATTAATCTATTTATATTTTGTCTACAAATATTTATCTATATTTTATTTTATTTTTAGGCCCCTTTGATAATGGAACATTTGTTCCAGTAACTGTGCAATCTATACATAGGAATAAAGCTCCACGTCGAGTTGTAAAAGCAACTCAAAGTGCTTCGTTGAGTTTGGAACAAAGTATTCCTGGATTACGTAATGGAATGGTGCTCTTGGGATCGGGTGTGAATCATAGTGCTTGCATATTCTTCCAAGTAAAATTACTTAAATTTGATGGTTATTGAACAACTGTTATTCATTGAATTACATTTGTAGGCTAGAATTGTTGTACTATATCATGCAACATCTATTCATAATGGATTCCAAACCACTGTACATATTGGAAACATACGGCAAACTGCGGCTATTGTTGCTATCATGGAATGTGATAAACGAGGTATGCATACTAATGACACAGCATCAGTAATATTTAAATTTGCACGTCATCCAGAATATGTCACTGAAGGTATGCGGTTATTGTTCAGAGAAGGACAGACTAAAGGAATTGGAATTGTTACTCAAGTATTTGCTTTGCAAGTAGTTGCTGGATAGATAACATTGTTTTTATTGACTTACAACTTTTATTTATATAACCAATAGAGGTAAAATGTACACAGTTACATAATTTAAACTTATAAAAATCACTTTATACACATAAGAATATATATATATATATATATATATATATATATATATAATAAAAAATTAGTACTGTATACTTAGTGTAATTTAATGATCTTAAGACGTTGATCTGTAAATTTGTACATCTGTTTATTAACTTTAGAGGTATAATTAAGTTATAATGTCTATTGTTTCATAAAACATTTTTGCTTATTATAAGGCATTTATTGACCTTGTAGGCATTTAAATAAAAAAAAGTAGTTTTGTACGACATATAAAAAAAATAATTAGTGCTTATTATTGCAGAAAGTAGCAGGTACAATTATAATTCTTTTTTTTTTTTTAATATTCTCTATATATAAGTAAAATGATTTAAAAATTACATTTATTGTGTTCATTTTAAACAGCATAAATAGTTAAGTAATAGTTACAATGAGTTAATATTATTATAAAAAATTAGATACTAGATACTGTGATACATATTATGTATCTATTAAATTTTCTTTGTGAATATTAGTAAATAAAATGTTATTGTTTATTTTAGTTTTTGAAAGAGGTTAACCTGAGAAAAAATAATGAAGTACAAAAAGTTATTTAAACTTATTTTAGGAATTATTTAAGAAGTATTTTTAGTCTAGTTGTGAGGTGCTGTGACTGAATAATTAGTTTTACAAGTATAGTTAGATATGGATTTGTTGTTGATGACTTCATAAAAAATTATTTTACATGCTAATTACATATCTTAAAAAATATGAAGTGTAAATATGATTATATATATATTATATTATATAACCAACCCATAGTAACTTAGCTCCTATGAATAAAAATGTATTAATGTTTACCTAATTTACTGTTATAAATTGTATGGACACTTTATTTTTAGTATTGTTTATTTACCATTTATTATTTTATTATTCAAAAATACATTTTTACCCTGAACTTTATTTTTCTACCAACATATTATTTATTGGAAAATATATTTTCAGAATAACATGCTCAAAATCTATAATTATTTTTTAATTTTAAAAGTATTAAGGATATTTATATATACCAATGTATACACTTGATTTGTTGTTAATCCATGATATTCTGTTTGTATAAAGTTTTGAAACCACAGATAAAAAAAAAATATATAATAATAATAATGTAACATTTAAATTTCTAGATAACACTATTTTATTGCCATTCTTAATTGATAATTTCACTGTAATATATTTATGTATAATAATGAAAACTGGATATATTTAGTGTTTTATTATTCTTTTTTTCCATAAATGTTATTGATGCGTCGAAAATATTTATAAAGGTGCGCTTGAATAGAGAGCGATATATCTACAACTTTTCCAAGTAATATATTAATATAGAGTGCCAGTATAGAACTTTTCAAATTGTTGCATGATCTTTTTTACTGTTGGATTAAACTAAGTTTTTTAAAAATTATTCTTGGTTCTATTCTGCTCTCCAATTTTCTTTATATAATGTATAGAACAATTATTTTAATCCATCGCAAAACTGATTATCTTACTATATACCAGGGGTCGGCAAGTAATTTACATTGGAGTTCTAAAGTTTAAAATAATAAATCAATGAGGTCCAGTGAAAAAAATCTTTTTTTAAATCTTCATATTTCAAAAATAGTAGCATAAAAATAAAAATAATTATTTGGTTATTACAATTAATTTATATTAAAAATTACAATGTTAGAAGTATGAAAATAAAAGTTGACAGGGTCCAGAGTATTGCTTTTTGTAGTCCGGATTTGTACCCCAGTCCGCCAGTTGCTGACCCCTTCTATATACCATACAAATTCAACAATTTTTTTGTTTATTCTAATATTTTAAAGTTTCAACTTTAAATTGCTATTATAAGTATGTATTTTTTAAATTTAAACAATGTTTCTTTTTGATAACGTATAAATTGTGTGTACTCCTAAATTGTATATGATCTAAGTTTTTGTCTATCTAATTATTATCTTTATCTAATGATAACTTGGCATAATGTTACGAAAGTAAAATAATTCATGTTCAATTATTATTTTTAATATATTTATTTTAATTGATTACCGTTGTAGTTAGTGCATTTTCTACTAGCAGTGTTTTATGATATTGATAATACTGCATCATACACATTGCACCACTTTATGATATGTCAGTAATGCTAAAGAGAAACACAGTAACTTATATCATGTGAAAATTGTCAAAAATAATTTATTAATCACAAACTAATAGCATTTTTGAATTTCTAGCATAAATTTCCATCTATTTCAGTCAAAATGTGTACATAAAGTTTTTAATTGAATAAAAAAAATATTATGAAAACATAAAAGTTTAATTTCCCGAAAATGTGAATTTTTTAGTTAGTGCTTTTCGCAGTAGCAGGACAGTATAGAATACTGATAATTCTAGTAATTTCGGTAGAGCTCTTTTAAATTTGATTAACAGCCACGACTCCTGGACCATTTCAATTGCAAAATTGTGCTTCAATATATTACTGAATCATTTTAAATTGTATTAAAAACATATGTGAATGTTACTACAGTCGACTACGGGTTAAATTAAACCTAAAAAATTGCTTCTTACAACTCTGATTTTGAAAATTAAGATTTTTTTTTTTTTTAATTGTAATTCATCTGTTGTAAATCTTGGTTTCTTTCGAATATTACGGGGAACAGTAGCCACGTCTATAAATGCAACCGTATTATTTTAATGTATACCGCGTAACAATTTTCATTCCTGTGCAGACACGTACATAATATATTAATATGTAAAGTTTATACTGTTATTTTACGATGTACAAACTATTCCGAACTGCCAAAATTACGTTTAAGGATATCCGGCGGTAATGCGCCATATTTTCCACCAGTCGCCACTGTTATGTACAGGTATAAATTATACCGTATACGTGTATGCTCGCGGATGTTTTTCGCGAAGACTTGAAAAAATTGGACCGTTTTCAACGTACCCAGCAACTCTGCACGTCGCACTAGTTTATGCATACATTATAGTGCACCGTTTTGAAACCATAATAATGTACATACGTAGTGTTGTTTGTGTATAGGTATAAGCAGTATATTCACACGAAATTTTCGAAATCCGATCAACATTTGATCAGTATTTTATGTCGGTAAAATACGATCGAGAACGCTCGAGTTTTTTTTTCCAACGTTGCCAAATGTAATCGATCGATAATATGAGCACAATAATCTGTTGATATTTATCGGACTTTTATCAGATTAGCTGGATGTTAATAGTAACATAGATACGAGAAAATGACGGTTAGGCTTTGCAGTCGTCGCACAAACTATTCGTCTATTCGAATTAGGTAGTTTTATAAGTTCTACATGTTTTACAATTTTTCTATTCATATATACGCTATACAGGTATTAGATATTTTTAATTTTTTATTTATATTATGTATTACATATTATTAGACGCTTATTTGTATACGATTATAATTATTAATTTACGATTTTTTTCAAGAATATTGTATGTATATTGAATTTTCTAAAAGCCAAATAAATTATATGGCAAACTATGACAACGTTGCACACAAATTCGTTCCCAATCGTATCGTTTTTTGGGTCAGCGGTTTGTTCTTTGTTAATTTTAAGTGTTCTCAATCGTTCGGCCAAAAATGTATAACGTTCTTAATCGTTCGATAGCCTTTTATGTATCATCAAGTAAATAGTTTATTAAATATAATATAAATATAGATTTACATAAAATCAACCGGACCAGCTGGATCGGGCTGTAACACGATTGCGCCCAGCTAATTAGCTCGATAACACTAGGTTTTACCTTTTTACCTACAAAAAACGCAACACGATTGCGCCCAGCAAAGTAGTTCGATAGCGCTCCGTGAAATATAAAGTCTTGCATTTCTAACAATTTTCAAATATACTATTTAAAAATACATTTGGAGTGTAAAACTCAAAGTTTAAATTAGGTTAAATTATCATTTTAACAATTTTCCTTCTCAATTTTACAGGCTTAGTACTGACAATTTTCTGTGCTACGTAGTTCTTGTCTAATTATTTTATTCGGTCTCGTTAAGAAACCGTTTTCACATTTTTTTTTTTTATTCTGCAATTTATTATTTGTTTACTAACTATGTTTTCTGAAATTATGTGATGATGGTGTTCATTGAGCAAGATTTTTTGTCACATCATTGACAACATAAACACTCGATGGAAAATTGATAATCTAACCTAATTGAACTTTGAGTTTTACACACTGACCGTATTTTTAAATAGTATATTTGAAAATTGTTAGAAAGGCAAGACCTTATATTTCACGGAGTGCTACTGAGCTATTTCACTGGGCGAAATTGTGTTGCGTTTTTTGAAGGTAAAAAGGTAAAACTGGGTGCTATCGAGCTAATTAGCTGGACGTAATCGTGTTGTGTTTTTTTCATGTAAAAATATAGGATGGGCGCAATCGTGTTTCACCGCTGGATCGGTAGTACCGCAGGAAAAAATGTGTGAAATAATAAACCAACGATTCCATTTAATCATTTATAGCTACAATATTATTTTATTTACTGACATTTGTTTCGAATGAAAACACAAAAAAAACTCTATTACATAATTAATAATTATGGTAAGTACTACTAACTTATGTACACTAAAACACATCGTATCCTATACAAAACGATTTACTATAAAAAAAAAAAAAAACGCTTAACCGCAAAGTTGTTCGTTTTTCAGAAGTTTTCTAGCGCGGGGGGCATTGGTTTTTACCCCGGTGCGTGTACGGTACGGGTGGCGGAAATCGAGTACGAGACGAGAAATGAAATATGACGTCACGTGTACGGGGTAGGTGAAATGAAATCGCGTCCACGACCGTTTGGTCATCGTCGGAAATCGTCCGTAATTCGTTCGTTGAACTTTACGACGGGTCAGCCGTTTCGACCGAAAACGTTAAAAGTGTCGTATTCTCGTCGTTAAGAGTACAACCGTATTACGCGAGTAGTTGCGCGATCGGCGACAGTCATACGGTACCCTCAGTAACGTTTCGTGTGAAACGGACACGTCGTACTTCGGACGCTAAATAATGGGTGAGAGATGAGAGATGACGAAGAGAAGATGACGAGAACCAACGATAACGTGTAACATCGACAACGAGCGAGCAGAGCATCTCGTAAATCGTTCCGTATAATATTTACGCGTTTTATTGTACAAATCGGTCTACCATCAGTGCGTTTACGAATAGATAGGTAATTCGCAATGAGCACTGAAACACTTGCATGCAATATAAATATAATTATAATTTTATAATTTTTTTTTTTTAACAATACGTCCCCTTGCGGTTAAGTATAAATACATTTTTATCGTACGAGTTATTATTTACACGCACGGAATGGTCCATCCGGTTTGATATGGTTTTAATGTGTGTATAAAATACTAATTATACATATATAATACCGTATGTAAAGGTAATGTACACAGTTATAACAACTACATAATATTGTACATGCGTAAACTTTGCTTACGGAAAATATCGATAAATATTTGTTTTAAACGTACCTTTATAATAAATGTATACTGTTTAACTTCTTTTATATAAATATACTTATCGTTTCGAAAACACTTACGAACGAGGAAAAAACAAATGACGTGTGTTGTTCAACCTTTTATTGAAAAAAAAGAGAAAAAGAAAAGGTAGTTACGTATGTAATTCAATAGACTATTATCGATTATCGTTTGTTTTTCAATGCGAAATGGACGCTTAAGACGAATAGACAGTTGCGTAGAGGCTGCACACCAGTGCTATTTCCCCCCGTAAATTAATACTACGTAATACTTTAAGTGAGAGAGAAAATACAATTAATGGCTTTCGTAAAATAAAAATAAATCAGCTATTAGTAAATTATTTGTATGTTACGGGGCAAAAAAAAAAAAAAAATGAGATCACGAGTTTTCTTTTTTTTTAAAAAAAAAGTCATAATACTAAATAAACATAAGGACGACTTATTATTAGGATGCATATTTAGAAAATCGTAAGAATAGTAATAGAGAACCGATGACACTGTGCATGAATACATATAGTGCATAGTATTATAGCAGAACGAATGGTTATACTGTTATTGTTTTGATTGTCTTGGTATAATTAGAAAAAAATTAAAATAAAACTTCATAAGGTCTGTTATGTGTAAAATATAGTTATTTATTCCCTCTCCGATCGATGGGGTTTTATATTTATTGGAACCGAGTAAAATAATAATAATAGAATATGAATGCGAAAAACGATTGGTAAACAAAATGGAAACGCGTCTAGTTTAAAGTAATATTATCGTACACATACAATATTATGCTTGTACAAAAGTTTAATATAGACATTAAAAAAGGGGGAAAAAGTTACATCTTATTACTAAACTTAAAAATATCGAATGTACACGATTTAAAATGTTATTAAAAATAAGTAGTAGTTGAAAAGCCATACTTAAATGGATGGGTATAATGTTATTTGTATATATATAAAATGTAATCTAAATTATTAATATTACTGGCCCAAAATATGACAATAGTAATAATAATAATAATAATAATAATAATAATAATAATAATAATAATAATAATAATAATAATAATAATAATGTAATCTTATTACTATTTAAAATAATATTAAAAAAAATATAATAAAATACCGTTATTAAGGTCTTTATTTATAATATTAACGAGCGAAAGATAAAAAATATTAAAATATTTATACATTTTAAATTTGGTAGGTATATATATATATTTAATAATACAAAAATTAATAAAAATAAAAATACTAATAATAGTCATAATAATAGTAATACTATAATAACAATAATAATAATAATAATAATAATAATAATAATAATAATAATAATAATAATAATAATAATAATAATAAAAAAAATAAAAATAATAATAATAACGGCGGATATAATATGCAAATCGCGAAGACGCTAAAATATTGATCGCGCGGTAACGTGGAGGTATACAGTAATAACAGCTGATAAAACTATCGAATCTCAACGGAAAACGCTATATATATATATTTATTTATGCATAAATTATGGTACGAAAAACGCGCGTTTTTCGACGTTTCCCGGCTTCCGTATTAAAAAAATCCCACCCCCTCTATCCCCACCTGTTGGTTTACATACGGAACGGTGTGCATTCGACGAAAAATACGTGTATAAAAGTATGCGATGAACAAAATGTTCCGACACAGAAAACGTGTGTGTACGCAACAAACAAACGCGGACGAGATGAAAAGTCTCGCGGAGAAGTTTGCGCATCACGTGTTGGTAAAAAATCAATCGGGTCGGGTGAGCAGGTGCAGTAGATCTACGCGGGGGCAGAGTTGTGCGATAAAACGATTGTACTGTCGCGTAACGCGACCGATGAGCGAGTTACGATGATCGTTTCCGCGCGGATTTGTATGCACCGCCATTGTTGCAGTCGGATTTTTTAAGGGTTGATCTAAGCGCCGGGACACCTAACGTTTGGATTCTCGACGTAAGAATCCATCGCGCACGAGGTTCAATCGTTTTGGAAAAAATACGGGGGAAAAAAAAATAAATACAATAAACAAAATCCGTGAGAACCCTACCGGGTTGAATTATCCTCGTCCGCGATTGTTATCGTTGTCGTCATCTCCTTTGCTCGTCGGAATGCCGGGAACGAAAACGGAAAGGTTCGCTTTTCCTGTTTGCGCCGATCGCACGTTGTCGACAACCAAACCGTGTGCGGGCGTGCGCCGATAAAACCGTTCCGCAGTACAGACGTAGTTCGTTGCATAACGCGTCTAAACGCGCGACGGACACTCACGTGTCTGTTTGCATCGCGGTCACCACCGGTAATCGCGCTCCGGATACCGTATCAAGCGGTCGCGGGATCTGAACATTAATCGAATCACAACGGTCGTTTGAACGCGAAAACAATATGCCGGCGCTACGTTTTCGAACAGCGACCGTAACACAGCGGATTCAAACGCGTCGTCGCGCCGAAACGTATTTCAACAACAATGGAACGGTATGGAAATTTTTTTGATTACCGCCCCTCGGCGACGTACCAGAAACAAAAAATAAAACGACGAAAATCCCGTACACGTGCATCGCGTATGAATTCAATTATTCTTTTCGTGTGCTACACCGACCGATGCCTTCGGATAGGAGCCGACGGTCGCCGTCCCCGAAAGCCAGGACGCGCACCATCGAACTCTCTACGACTACTGCTATTGATTATTGCCGCTCTTACGTTTTATCGCGCGAAATAATGTTCTTATACCGACGTTGACGGTTACATGCGGTTTATTCCGCTCGTACACGTCGGATGTGTTTTCGCGAGTCGGACGACTAAAATAATCACTACGGCGACGAACGTGACCCGGCTGCTTCCGTCACGTGCCGGACCGTTTCCGTGCACCGTCACGTTCGTGTTTCGGTTCTAAACTAAAATCGGGTTCGATCCATCGGACCGGTGAGGGATAAACCACAGGCGGCGAGTGGAACGACGTGTACGTGTCCGGCCGTGACGAACTACTTTCGCGCGGGCTCGTTGAGGAAGAACGCGTGTTTGTTCGATCGGTTTTTTGTTTTCTTTTGTTCTTTTCCCAGTCTTCGGCACGTTCACGCGCGGAAAATTAAAGTAAAGTGTACAGAGAAATTAATATAAGATATACAAGGGTGGGGGGGGGAGGAGAAAAACGCGAACAAACGACGCGCGCGTACATTGTTTAACCGTTGTCGCCTTGCAACAGCGGCGTGGACGCGGTAATGTTGTTGTGGTTTGCTATGCTGTTGGTCGTCGACTTGGCGGACGAGGAGCCCACGCTGTTGGTCGTGTGCATTTTCGAAAACGATCCGATCGAGTTCACCGGCGGCGCGGTGCCGGCCAGGGCCAGGGTGGTGGTCGCTGACGTGGCGGTCCCTGTTGTGGCGGTAGCGGTGATAGCGGCGGGAGTGGTGGCCGTCGTCGTTCCGGCCGGATCAGCCGTGCCCGCTTCGGTCGTTGGTGTTTTTTCGCCCAGCAGCCAGTACGTCGTCACTTTGCCTTTGCCCTGTACGATAAAAACGACGTTTCACATTAGTCACCTTCCGCTTTTGCACACGCGGTATTCGTCGTCGTCATTCCCTATACTCTGTGATGCACGTGTAGAACACGATTTCTCGCAGGACGAGCCAACGGCAGGACACGGTTGTAGGAGCCATTAAGGATGGTAAGACGAGAAAAACGACGACGACGATGATACAGCGGCGCGTAATGAACCGGAAAACAGTTTTCCGCTTACCTTCATCTCGATTTCGCCCCTGAGTTCCAAGTCGAACGTGCCGAACGTGTCTAAGACTTCTTTCGTTTGCGGGCTCACGTGGATTTTCAGTGCTATAAAACACATAAACGCGAGAATATTATTATAATACACGGTGTCGACCACAGAAATTTCACAATATACCCGCACACGATTACCACCCATCACTCCCTCGAACAGCAATATCTTTGCAGCTATTTTAATCGTTTGGTTTTGCAAAAAAAATATTTAATTATCGCGGTAGTACTGTACTGATTTGTTTATTGTAAAAATAACACGTCACATAAATTTATTAATGGGAACCGTTTAGTTTTTAGTTAATCTTTTCTTTATCCTCTAGAAAAACCATACAAATTGTCCTTTAGGACGGCGAGGGGTATAATGTATATTTTCACAAAAACATACATTAATAGTATATACCTAGAAATAGCTTCCAAATAAAACACAAAACAAAAGTGGTGAACGGACCCGTTTTCCAATAACTCGTTACCCGAGGTTCGTAATTTGATATACCACTTTGCACATGGGGCTTAACACGTGTCGTCGAACAGGGACAACGGCTTTTGGACCGACATTTAAATCCGAACCGTTTTCGATACCCATTATTAAAGCTTTATCGCGAATTCTGGCCGATCGATTGATATGCACATTGGTTGGACGCGGACGAATTCGGTAAAGGATGTATTTACTGACGACAACGTTGTGTCGAATTGACAGATTGTACGGAGTTGTTATGTGGTCGGGTGGATGTATAAAAGGAAGGAGCATGTATACGAGGAAACTCATTGGATCGGATATAATGACCAAAAACTTTAATGCGCGGAAAAAATCCGTTAAATCCCGAGATGATATCTTATATATTATTATGTAAGTATATAGTCGAAACGAGGATGAGTTGAACGAGAAAACCGTGCATTAGTACACATGACTATTTAAAACGCAATGTTTCCTCAACATTTGTACACAGGCGACTCGAAAAATAAAATATTTTATCGTATTCTGCATTTCCACCGTAAAAAAAAAAGAAATTTGTGTTGGAAATTCTCAAAACTGACACGGAATTTTAAGACAAATTTTAATTGAATAAATTAAAGTTTTTCTATAGAAGTTCATTTATAAACATATTTAGTGATAAATGTTGAACGTTTTAACGTTTAAACCGATGTATGAAGTGAATCGATCGAAGTGAGAACCATTTGGGGTAGGCTGGTGGTTTATTTGATCTGCCCCGCGTAATATGTAAATGTTTAAACCACCCTTACGGGTAACTTAGTTGCTTTGCTCATTGTTGTCGCCAGTCCGTAATTTTGTATTATAATTCGTCGAGTGATAATTTATTCGATTATCCAAACCAGTTTTATTCGTGTCGGCAACAACGTGCACACGGTGGTGAGCTATAGTATATCATACGTTTGGCATACATTTTGCAAGCATAACGTACGTACGTCGCGGCGCAATCGATACGCAGAACATTCGACGTGTATTTATAAAAATATATATAATCGGTGTGGTGTGTACTGTATTGTTTCTCAACCATTTGGGTATCGTGATCTCAAAAATAAATCGAAAATGGAATGAGCTCTTCACTATGCCTATAAAATAAACACTAAATTGAACCTAAATAATCACTGGATATATCGATTACTAATATTTTCTCACTCATATTGGGCGAATAACTAGCATACGCTTGTTATGAAATTAAAACATTTTTAAGTATGCTCAATTTTTTTTGTTAATTTTAAGCCTTTGTTAATTCAAAAAAATATAAATAAAAAGGTCTTTTTTTCTTATACACAAGAGTTTAATTATTTCTGAATGGCACGACCTCTGTGTTTAGGGTATCTGTAAGGGAATAATATTACGCTTTTATTGTGGTGCGTTATTGTTTTAAAATATTTTCCCGTGTTGGTGTATATATACGTACCGAAACGATAATGCGATATCGTTATTAACGGGGGTACGTACGAATACCATGGACGATTCACTAGTTTCCGGGTCAACGTTTATATTTTTAAGGGACGCGAACAAGCTTATGAATGTTACGATAGTACTATACGTATATATATATATTTATACATACCTTGTCCGTTGGATTCCATTCTCGAAGCCGTGTTCACTGTGTCTCCAAACAAACAGTATCTTGGCATTTTAAGTCCAACCACCCCGGTGACACACGGTCCTAGAAAGATAAAATACAACGACGTTAATTTATTATATTTTCTCGATAATTATCACGGATCGTCGACATAACGTCAAAAATAACGTACATCCTATAACAGGGATGACAAATCCATGACACGCGTGTCCGAGATGGCACGCGAAAAGATTTTGTGGGTACGTGAAAATGTTTACTATTATATATAATATTATAGGATCTATGATATAATATAATATAAATAATTAACAAAGCAATATTATTATAATTATTATTATATACCACCTAAACTGACCTTTTTATACTAATACATTAATTATACAATCAAATTATAATATAACAAAATATAATATTTTTAATATTTTTTTCATGGCACGCTCTATAAAAAAAAAAAAAAGGTAATTTTGGGCACGCAGTGTTCAAAAGGTTTGCCATCCCTGTCCTATAACCTGGCTTTAATCATTAACCAATAGCGTGAAAAATGTACGCGAAAATTATACATTATTGTTTTGCTAGCTGTTATACGATTTGCTGTTTTATAATGTATACGTTTTTGTCATGGAAAAATTTTTTTATTTCATAGCTAACGGAAGGCATGCAAGCCTTTATAGTTTTACAATGGTGCGTTTTGTTATGTTTGAAAAAATAACGTTGGGGAGAATACGAAAACAAGACTGTTCGGATTTTTTTTTCATTTCAATATTAATAGCGTTTCACTTTAATGTGCATAATAAATCGTTTATTTTTAATGAACACAATCGTGTCAAAATATATGCAAAAGTGACTAAAGATTCAATCAAAACGATTAGAAGCAGCACAGTATTTTACTTAGGCATTTTAACTTCATCAATTTTGTATAGGTATTACGATTGCAGTAATTCTAGTATGAATCGCTCTACTGAATTCTTATAAAAATTTTTTTATAAACTTTCTATAAGTCTTAACAATAAATATTAATTGCAGTATACCACTGTTAAAAATACTGATAGTAATTGTTATTATTACTTTGCAATTATTGCAAACATTCTATCAGCAGGCTGTTTTTTTTTTAAAATATACGGTGTATTTGATAAAGTATGAAAAATATTTCTACAATAGTTTCTTACATTAATCTACAAATATGTTGAAAAATCTCGCTTATTATTTTTTTTTATTTCACCAGCGTACCTTTTATTCAAAAACTAGTTGATATATACCTATCTACTGTAATTCTCCCGTTAAAATGTATACTCCTCATGGGATTTTTTTATGATGGCCGAGGGACAATGGTTTTTTATATGAGTCATAATAGCCTAGTGATTTATTAAAAAAAAAAGACATTTTCCGCATGCTCGTAGTACATATTATATATATATTAGTAGTATATATACTGTGTTGTGTTGCGTTAAATAATGATAAATAAAAACGTACGAGTGCTTTCTCATAAAGAATTGTAAATGATAGTGTCAAAGATCATAGGTAATCAGTCAGTTTTGAGACAACGCTCGGTACGTGAGTATTACTCTGATTTTAAGAATAGACTCCATTTTTATGTTTATCAACTTACTCAGTGCGAGCAAATATCTTCAGGAGGGCTACGGGACAATAACATAATATAATTTTAAAATATTATATCGTTTTAGTATAGATAGTGTACATTAAGTAATACCACACATTGTGTATATCATTGCAACGAACTTAAATATAATTATATATAAACTAATTGGTTCTTTTACGAAATATGTAATGCTATTACAAATTCGTTTGGATTGTGTTTCCAAATGAAAATACGGCGGTCAAAAGGGTCAATTTAAAATTTTAAAGTTTTGCAATTATATTCACGAGTATCTAAGGAATAACTATGTATAATTATGAAGCCTAATTATTTATTTTACTTTTAAAAAATATGCAATGAAATTGATAGAAGCATTGTTGTTTAATAAATCACAATATCAAACTTTTTGTTTAGTTCAGTTTAAATAATTTTTTTTTGTACCACAACGCTTAATATTATAACATAACAGTATAATTATGTTATCGATAGTTACCTTAACACGATACTTGCTGAAATATTATAATAATGTCTATAATAAATATTTCATTTTAATTGTTAATTGTAACAGATAAACTTATAATTTTAATATGTTTATTCATTGAGTTTCACGTTGATCTATAATATTATATTATTATATGGCCTAATGATAAATATTTCGATTACATTAGCTACACATAGTTGCACAATTTTTGTTGCTGTACGATTATAGTTTGTGTTCTGCTCTTTCTTTATGTCCCCTACTTTTTTAACATGCTGGTACCTATGTGGATTAAGCATAACACAATTTGTTTTACTGCCTATAGGTCAACTTCCAGAAGAAGCTTTGGGAGCAAGAAATAAGAACGTATGGAAAATTTGATTATTTCAGAGGAATCTACAAACAATAAACTTTCTAGTGCCACGGTTGATGATAATAATTAAATATAAATATTAAGTTACTTAATTATCCATTTATTATACTATTATTTTATTTAAAATATTTTAATGAATAATATAATTTATTAAAATGTTAAATTATTTTTCTTATTTTTTTAAAACGGTAAAATTTAATTTCTTAGTTTTTATGGATTTATCGGTATATTAGTAGAGGATATTATTATTACTATAATTCAGTGGTGCCAAACTCGTGGCTCGCGGACCTTATGTGGCTATAGAAGGTAATAAATGTGGCTCGTTACAATGTTTTTAAACGAAACAAAATATAAAAAAAAATTTTAAAATAAATTATAAAATAAATTTTTTTTAAAATGTAATAATCTGATTTTTGAGAATTTTCAAATAGAAATTTCACGATATAACTCGTGCACTTGCAAGAGCGTACTGATCAAATTAATGTGTACCTATAGCGTGTTTCTCGAATTGTAATCTTTTCAATAGTTAATAAAATATTTGAAAACAAATTCAACATGTAACTACATGTACATTGTATACCTACTATGTGTAACAAAGTAACATTAGATTAATATTGATATTATTCGTATTTTTATACTTAATGACCCAGTCTAAGATAATTTTTATCAAAGTGGTCTGCCGAGGAAAAAAGGTTGGACATCACTGTTATAATTTCTAATTAATAGAGGTACTGACCAAAAAAATCGGTTCAGTGGTTCAAATTTTATGTAACTAAAACATTTTGACCGGCATATTTTCATTTGGAAACATTGTGCGATGGTCGCATACAGTTGTCACTTGGTACAATACATAATTAAATAATGGAACTATTGTTGTGATATTCTGGAATTGTTTACCATTGTTCCTGTTCATAAAATATACACTGAGTTATTAAATGTCTTTGTGCTGTTCAGTTATCTATATGATAAATTGATTTGACCAGAGCTCATTTTGAAGTTGTTTGAACTATTTGCTTTTTGAAGTAGAAGTTTTAAAATTGACATAGTTTGGATGGACATACTTAGCAATTTTCGCGATGATTATACGTATATTATATCCAAAGGATTCAAGATAAATAAGGATAGAAATATTCTAAACTGCAAAGTGCCAAACTTTTCATTACACGCGTCATTCTTTTCAATAAAACGTAATTTTGGAAAATACTATTCGTATTAAAAAAAAAAAAAAAAAAATGCGTTACACTTTACGTTATTCACCGAAATATTAAATTTATATTAAAATATTCTACAATGGGCGTAAAACGTATCACAAATAAATAAACCGCACAAATAAATAAGCAACCATTACTCCGTCTCGGATCCGGATGGTATAATCAGTTAATAGTTTTTCAACATAAAATTTATCATTATCCAAAATATTATGGATATTGGAATGTAATGATGGGTTCTATAATGATTTCAAAAGGTTTTTATTTTGCGTTAAAAAAAAAAAAAAACATTTTTTATAAGTCATTTTGAATACACATATTAAGTTACTCGTGTGCATTAGTTTATAAAAACTCATTTTAGTAATTGAAAATAAAATTTACATACATATTATATACTTGCGCGCACACACACATACACACACACACACACATATATATATAGATGACATGTTATTTTGAGTTATTTATAAAATTATATTATTTTAACGTTGAACGGGGTACGTGTATAGTGTATAAATTAAAAATATTGTAAATGCAGTTATATGTAGGGGTGGGTAGGCGTAAATATATGTACGAGGACAAATTGTTATTAATTAACATTATACAGGCACGTCGCGTAGTATTATCTCTTATATACTCGTATAACGCGCGCATTTATCATATACGTAATGATGTAATAAATATTAAATATTGTTGTTATCCATATGATATTATAGTACGAGTACAATACTAAATTTGTACAACATGCAGTCGACGTAAATAATATCTTTATAATTGTGTTGCCAAGAATCTCATTATGGTAAATCTGTTGAAAAAACATTATTACAATGTATTATAGCGTGTGTATACAATTTTAACTCGAGAGCGATAATTATATTTTAGACATAGATATAATGTACATTTTTAAGCACGTTTAAATAATTTTAGCCATAAATTATAATTTTTTTGAAATTCTGATTTATTGAAAATGCTTGTGTACTATAAGGTTATACTTTCCAATTCAAATTAAAATATCAAAATCCTCTTAAAAATTTTCCAATATCAATTTTCGTTTTTTAAATGAAATATCATTCTATTATGCTAGTAATTGTTAAGATAATTTTCTTAAATGATTCATGTGGCATAGTTAACACTTAAACCATACATTTCGGAGTTATTCACATTTATTAATGAAGGAATTTGTATAATTTCTTTGATCGGTAAAACAATTTTATAATTAATTTTTGATAATATGAAGTAATTAGACATATTGTTTATTCTTTTTTCGCTACTGCTCCGAGATGACGTGGATTTAATTTTACGGTACACGCATTATACGTTATTATAAGCTTATATAGGTTGTGGATGTAACGTAGACAAAATTTTTATTTGTTTTCGAATTATTCAAATTAATAAAGTTGAGTATGAATAGTGTAAAATAAAATAAAGATTAAGATAAAATAAAGATTTTATTTAAATAATAACAAAAAATAAATAATAATATTTGTATAGTCATACTAAATAAAATAAGGCTATTATAAGTTCTTTATAAATCTGAATAATTCGAATAAAAAAAGAAACAGTATTATAGTGTACACACATTTTCATCAGATGAGAATTTGAAACACGTACAACGTGAGCATAAAAGGGTATGTTGAGTATGTTTAATATTGGTAAATCGCCTTGAACATATAGCGATGCTGCGGCTGCGGTGGTGGTCGGCCGAAGGGACGAAAAAGTGCCGAAAAGTAATCTTTCATTGCGTTACAATAATATAACCAGGGCAATATTAAACGGACCGGGCGCCGCCGTCCACCGACTCGAGCCGTGGGTTAATAGCCGTCGAATAGATTTGCGTGTACGTCGAACGAGGGATTAATACGGCGTGCAATAGCTGCAGCACGTGCACGCGTATACGACGGCAATAAAAATGTTAAAACGCATTTACGGGAAAGTATGGGCGGTACAACGGTACATATATATATACGTAAAAGTGTACGCGTGTATTGAATGGGGTGGGGGGAAATACGCTAAAAGCTCGCCAGCAATTGCCGTCTTTCCCGTATGTTATGTACATACAGTGAAGCGTTGCTGACGAACGAAAAACTGACTCCGGTGATGTCGATTTGATTTCGGCTCTGTCGGCGATTACTTCGTCTCCCGACTGCGTGCTTTCCTTTATTTTCCGTATTCTTCAATATTTTTTTTTTTTTTTTTTTTTTTTTTTACTTTTAACGCTCTTTCGAGGAATGCAAATAATTCTTTCCCGACAAATGGCCGGGGCTTGGGTTGAATAATGCGCCCCAACCCGCAGCGACGGGACGGGGCGAGGACGATATCGCGGGAGAAAGGAGAAAAATGAATCGGCCTTTGTGCGCGCGTTCCGGAAATACGTATCATATAAATTTGTCTGTTACTTCACGCCGGTGTCCTGGTTTTTAAGCGCTGTTTCCTCGACATTGCGCCCGGGACGCGCAGCAACAGGCCGCGCAGACCGACCACGCGTCACTGCACAACAGCGGCCCAGCTGTCGCGAACTGATTTAAAAGAAAACCGGCCTCTCGGAATAATATAACGATCGTTATAATAATAATCAGTTATTAATGTTATCGTGAGCTAATTGTATGAACATGTATAAACTGGTAAGGGACGAAAAAAGCAGCAAAGTTAGTCGGGGCAATGCGAAAAGTTGCGTTTGGTAAACGGTTTTTAAGACTTTAATTATTTATTTACTATTTTCTGTATAACTGCGACACGTTTTCAATTTTATGTCCTGAATTATTTTTTCAACATATCGATGCGTACACTATTGAACATTGAACTATAGTAGTTAATTGAATTTTTAAGTATTTTATGTATAGACCAGCGAATCAGAATTTTACGGGTTATCCTCTGCCACCAATTCGACTCTGTTCATCTAAACTTTAAATGCTTGTAAATAATTAACTCCTCACCGGTTCGTAATTTGATTTTAACCGTCGACATTTTCAGAAAAACAATCTGTTTGAGAACATGAAACGAATAACGTATTTAAAAGTAATTTAAAAAATATGAGTAAACATTAAAAAAAAATCACTAGAGCTACGACGAACACGTTTAAATCTTACAATGGAAATTATATTTTGTATATTACATTTTCATTTATATTTATACACATATCTTGTTTTTGGTTTTTATTTAATTTAATTGGTATTCTCACGCAGAAAAATACATTTCTGTGAATTTAATTCGAAGATAAAATAGATGTGCTTAAAATAATTATCAATTAGCAATACGTGTAAAACTCACAAAAGACTTTTTTTTGTATTTTGTGTTTCCTTGACCCATAATTTTTTTTTTTTTTTTGGGGTATTTTAGATTTTACTAAATCGGATTTCAATTAAAATTATTTTTAGGTTCCAAATAAGAACAAACAAGACTCACTGTCAATTTTTCAAATTTCTTTATACATATTCTAGAGAATTTTTCTGTACGGAATTAAGAACGTGTGTCCATACAACTGTCGAGATTTTAGATAATCGATAAATTGGTAAATTTTCATCAAAAAATGATTTGTATTCAATATACTATATATTGAGTGATAAACACGAACGATGACGCAGGTATTCTAAACGATTGTGTGATTTGCACTCGACACTATATAAATATCAAAGTGCTAGAGGAAAATGTAATTTGATACTTAAGTATTAAATTTGATATTAAGTCAAGACAATGGTACGAATTAACTTTCAAGGTTCAGATAATGCAACGTCACCTTAAAAACAATCGGTGGTTAATAAATCTTATATCAAACGTAATATATTTACGATAAACGTGTAACTAGGGAAATAAATCTAATAACTTTAGTGGGAACCAAACCGTTGGTATATAAAGTACATAGCAAAATATTTAATAAAATAGTTTTCTATTACCTTACTTAAGTTACCTTACTGAAGGTTCATTCCGTCGAAAACAAAGATATATAAATTTTAAATAGTTAATATCCTAGTGGAACCAAATTACAGTATAGGGGTATTTCATTCAAATTGAAATCAAACAGCGTACAGAAATGTAGACGTAATTTACACAACACGTCAAACGTGCTTTATTAATTCAATATAGTTATGAATTAATTTATATACATACAACAAAACGAGGGATATTATAATTAGGTAGTAATATATTTTAAGTTAAGTTCATGGCTTTTTTTTTTGTTTACATAATTTATCATATATTTTGAAATCAAAATTCTCTGTTAATCAATTTTTCTAATAAAAATGTATGGTCTGTAATATAGTTAAAAAAGTACATATGTACCTAATAATTTATAGTTCTTATTGTACCGTTACTGTTCTTATTATGCCGTTAACATATTTGATATATTTTATGACGTAGAATATATCTGATATATAAAAATCGACTTCATCCCACATTCCCACTGCTCACTTGTGCAATGTTAATAGCTTAATATATAAATTAATCAATGAAGCAGGACAATATAATAGTACTTTATTTTATTTAAACGCTAAAATAAATTATAAGTTATCAACTCATATAAAAAAAAAAAAAAACTATAATAAATACTATAAAAAGAAGTTAACTAAAAGTTATAAGCAAAATACAGCAATACATCATTATTATATGTATTTGTAAAGTTATGTAGGGTTAGGGACATATTTTTTTTTATTTCAAATATGATTTAATTGTGAAGAACGCGTATAGTAATAATTCGTGTCTATTGTTTTTTGGACTGTAACTAGTTATGATTAAAATATTACTCTTTGCCTCGAAAACTTTTTTTATTGCTTCTTTTTTTTCTAACGTTTGTATTTTATATTTTTGTTATAAAAGTTATTATAAGTGGAATAGGTAGATGTAGTATATATATTTATGATTGTATTTACGTACACGTTCATTTTCATATTACTCGTTTTATGCTTTTCATAATCCATTTTACTTAGGATTTACATTAAAATGTTGTATACGCTACGCACCACGTAGTGCTGTAATAGAAAACGGTCTAACAATGTTTCATAATTAAAGTCATATACGTCTTGATTTACATACGCATTTTCCTAACAAGTTTAATAGTTTATTTCGGCGAAATTCTCTCTATGGACTGTTGATTTCATTCGAGGTTTATTAAAGTTTGAGAACGATTTTCGTCCGAGTGAATTAACCCTCAAATACGTATTCGTTCAAGTTATTACGAAACAATAAATATTGATCATACATATGAAAATTAGTGCTTAAGCAGGCATTTTCAGCCTCGTGTACAATGTAGGTATCTGCAGTGCTCAAAGGGGGGTGAGAGAGATGCAAGAATATTCAGTCATTTATCGTGTAGTGCTTAAAACCATATCTTCTAATATTTGTCCAAAAAGTTCGTTGGAACAATCCACGTATGAATCAAGATAGCCGCTCATGTAAAAATTATACATTTATTAGAAATAATAGATTATATTTTTGGGATCACAGATCACAGTCCAGCTTTTTTTTTTTTTAGCACTTAGAGTTCCGGGTATGTATTTAGTATATTTAAATTTAAATAATTTTATTTCATCGACACTCACCTGTATGTATTCCTATACGCAATTTGAGCTGGTCGTTCGGTCTGTGTTTGATGGTAAAACTGTGTACGGCTGATCGCAGAGCTAGGGACATACGGGCTATCTCACGAGCGTGCGAGTTACCGTTGCGGACAGGAAGTCCAGATACCACCATGTATGCGTCACCAATGGTTTCCACCTGGGTTCAAAAAAAATTGTTATTATATACTGATATATGGAATAGTTAATTTTGCTGTAAAAAGCGCGTGAATATATTTTTAAAACTTACTTTGTACACGTCAAAATTCTCTATTATTGAATCAAAGCACGTGTAGAGATCGTTGAGTAGATCTACTACTTGGAGCGGAGTGCTTTCAGCGCTCAGAGACGTAAAGCCTACGATGTCACTGAAGTAAATTGTCACGTTGTCGTAAGTTTCGGCTACCACGGATTGTCCCAAAATTAACTGACTAGCCACGGATCTGTATGAAAAAAAAATACGGTGTCAAATTTTAGCCAATTTGTTTCCCGAATAAAAATACGTGTGTTCATCGAAATCATAAATAATGAAAAATGTGTGTGATGGAGTTTGAGAAAAGAAAAATTGGTACGTGGGTGTAATAGTTACGAGTTTCCGTTATGATCGCGATTATAATACATGGTTTAATTACATTTAATTACATTTAATTATTAAGTGAACAATGTGTAACGATCATACTAAGGAACGTTAACTAAAAATAATATATGAAACTTATTAATAGTATAACATAATAAATGTTCAATCTTATATTCCGTAAAACCATAATGTTATGTTAATATTTGTGATACAGTTCGTAAATATTCTTAAATAGAAGTTGACTTAACTTTATGCTTAGAAATTATTAAAAATTCTGCAGCATAGATGCCCGGAACGTGTGCAATATTCAGGATGCAGCATATATTTTATTGTTAAGCTTATTTATACAAATATGTCATTTTGAAGTAATGTATCACTCAGTATGCATTCAAAAGCTATTCTTGATTATGAGTAATTGAAAGTTAAAGCAGAAATCAACTCATAATGTAGGTGGATTGAGGTTGAATTGAAGTGAAATCAATTCAGACTCATTTTAGATTGCACTAATGGGAAAAAATTGCATTTGATTATGTCCAAATTAATTGTTTAAATGCTTTGATATTTATTATGTCAAACTACTTAATGCCATATTGGTGTGTTATATAATACACTGAAATAATAGGTAAAAATATATATTAATTTAGATAGGCAAGCCGACAAAAATGCTTATACGTTTATTTTTATTACATCAGAAGAATCCAGAATTTATTTTATTAAATCTTACGTTGGTGAAGCGTTTCGTTCGTCCATAAATAAAAATTATAGATTCAATTTTTTCATTGTTTAGGTCAAGGTTTTGTATTTCTATAGAACACCCAAGTGTTTTAAAAACTATATTCTGAACACGTGTGTTACTTTTATATCGTTGTTTTATTTGTTTGCCAGGACTTTTTGTGTAATAAATGTATTACAGTTATTCAATGTCATTACAAATTTTTTTCAACAAGAATTTATGTGATCAGGATCATAAATATGATATAATATTACGACTGTTACCCCCACCCCTCACCCCACGGATAAATGATGCCTGTAAATAAAAAAAAATAATGTATTCAGACTTATAATTCAAAATGTTTATTTTATTTTGGGTCCCACTTGGTGAGTACAAATAATATATCTATTACAATATCAGATAATGTATTCTTACGTGAATTACTCAACCATTTATACAAATATTTGAATCGATTTCTTTGTAGGTAACAGCAATTCAAAATATTCGTTTTTGGAGAGTAAAGTTTAGCATATTTTTTTAATTCGTATAATCCATAAGAATAAATTGTACGAAAACCAATACGCTAGGAATCTAAAACGAGAAATATTTATTTTTAGCGAGCGTATTTTTTTTTAAAAAAAAAAAAAAATAACTATAAGCTAAATGAAATCTAATGATAATAAATGAAAAATACATACAGATTTTATAATTTATTTTTATTTTTCCGGCGAATAAGGAACAAAGTGATTATTATAACTATCAAATTTAAAAAAAAAACAATAAATTCAATACATTATGATTGATTTTACAGTGTGTATACTGTGTTTAGGTCGTGGACTGATATGGTTTAGCCGGTAGTCCTAACAACGAAAATTTTCAAAGTAACCCGATATTGTTGTAACTTTTGAGTCTGCATATTTAATCTTCTATGGTAAATATCAATTTCCACAAAAGCTGCACGGCAGAACGAATAAGGTACACAAAAGAAAATTAGTACACGTAGAATATGTAGCTCGAGGAGTTTAACACACATTATTATGTATGTCCTCCGGCTCTTCAACACTAGCAACACATTGCACATATTCATTAATGTGCACGTTAAGACTCTGTTTGTTCTGCACTGTTTGAGCTATCGACTTGACGCACGTTTTTAAATTGCGACGCGTTTCGCCAAGATCAGATAAAACGATAAATAATTGATCAGAATCGTGTAACACAATATTTTAATGCGCTATTATAGGAATAAATATTTGAACAGCATTATGAACTTGAATCGCGTACGGTTATTGTACCATTAAGTCGCACTGATATTGTAAAGGTATGAATACAAAATAATAATCAAAACATCATTACGAGATAATATATACTGAAGAATACGATCTTGCGTACATTGACACTGTTTGTAATAGTGAACCGAGTAATGCGTGTTGGACAGCTGTGTAATTTTGTATAATTTGATTAGTTTTCATTTTTAATACACGCTACAAAGTTTTATGTGTAGTTCAGGTTTCTCTTTTTATCGACGGTCACATGCAGTATAGTGTATTTTCCTATGTAAATCTATAACTTTTGAAATCTAAATGTATATTCATTTTATACCAGTCAGATGGAAAAGATTAATTGGTTTTTTTTTTTTCTTCAACCTGAAGGTTGGTTTACAACTCTAATTCTCCATTCTAACCGATTACTCGCCTTTTCTTTAAGTTCTTTAAAGATTTTGACTTTTGCATCACATTTAATTTGTCCTATATAAGAGTTACGGGGACGTCCTGCAGTTTTCTTTCCTTTTATCATACCCTCTAATATTATATTATGTTTTTCTTCTGGATGTCTCAGGGCATGTCCTACCATTTTCCTGCGTCTTCCTCTAATCGCATCTATGAGTGTACGTTTTTCTCTCACTGTTCTAAGTACTTCTTCGTTCGTTTTCCGCTCTATCCAGCTTATCCTTTCCATACGCCACCAACACTACATCTCGAAGGCTTCTAGTTTTTTCCTTTTGATATCATTTATTACTCAAGTTTCACATCCATATGTTGCAACACTCCATACGTATGTTTTTATAAGTTTCTTCTTGATATTGAGATGTATTTTTTTTTGAAGTGAGCAACTTATGTTTTTTATTAAAGGCGATTTTTGCTAATGTTATGCGTTGTTTTATCTCGTGGACACTTTTGCCATCATATGTAATTTTGCTCCCTAGGTATAACATTTCTTCTACTTATTCTAATTTTTGACTACCTATGTATGTATCAGCCTTTACTTTCAAGTCTCTGGTGCAGACTAAGTTCTTCGTTTTTATATTCGTTTTTAATTGGCTATGATTATTTAAAATGTGAAACCCGGTAATGGAGAATAATAATAACTTTTATATTAAAATTAAACTAAACTTAATTATTAGATATATATATATATATATTTATTATTAGAAATCAATTATTGAATCGTATATTTTAAAAGTTTTACATTATTACATTATTTTTATAATGTTATATATACGTAATTATTATTTTAATTATTTTTAAATGTTACCATTGATGTCAACCGTGATACCAACTTTTTAAAAGTACACAAAATTAAGATGATAAATTCAAATTAATGACTTTTGCTTTTGAAATAAATAAATAACTGTTTACTATTCGTAGGGAATAAAAACTTCCACTTCACAATCTGATCAAGCAGTTTCTATATAAGAAGCAAAACATAGAAATATTCATCAGTCTGTAACTAACTGGCATTCAAATAACTTTTATTTTTTTAAATAATTTAATTTAATTTACGATATATTTATTTGAAGTAAAATAGTAAACCGAAAAGAAATAAGGATTTCTAAATTATAATTTATAAGTAAGATATTACAACTAAAATTAACCCACAACATTGAATTAAATCTTGAGACGATACCTACTATAATTTAAATAATTAATAATATAATTTTAAAATTCAATTACGAAGTCTATGTTGGAAACGCAGACTTTTTCACAACATATTATAATGATAATATTAGAGTAACCGAAACGTCTGAAACTATGTTTTTTTTTTCAATACACATACAAGTGTATATAAATATATTAAACGGTGTTGTTATCAGCACAAGTAAATTTTGATGAGTAGAAACGTTCCGATGTAATACTATACATTTATGAAAATAATCATCATTATCAAATCATTAGATATGACATACTGTATGAAGTTTTACATGAATGTATACTATTGTAGTTTTAGCATTCATTGCATTTAGTTCTTCTGTTAAGGGAAATATATTGTTGAAAAATGTACAATTTACGCAATGGTTTTTATTATTAAAAACGTAACTGCATGTTTGTTACCCGAACGGATTTCATACGTATCACGCATAAATGATCTTGTTTATAATTTCGCAATATTTTTTTTATGAAACATACAATCATATTTAAACGGCACTTATTTTATTTTTAATAAAAATAAGTGATACGAGGAATGTATTGTTTTATCGTACGGAGCTACGTTACTCGACGTGCGGGACAGCTATTATTGTGAAATGATCGCAGCCGGTAAGCTGTACCTATTCGCTTGTTTTGTCCTGTTGTCAATAAAGGACAGAGGAATAGGGGAAAAAAAATTATTTTCCTCGTGATCATTCTCCGAATTTCCTATACGTCGAAGCACTTTCAGCACCGACAAAGGAACATTTTTTGTTACGAAATATTCATAATATTTCCACGCCACCGTCGTTGATGTTACTGTTTTGTTGTTTTAAAATTAACTCTTTCAATCGTCGGACGCAGTAAGTTTGAATCGATATTATAAATCTGTATTTCAGAACCAGATCAATATAAATCACATTAGGCTAACTTTTTATGAGAGAATTAAAACTGAAAAAAGTAGGATGTTGCCTACAAAGTTTAGATTTTGAATTAATGAGTAATAATCGAAATGAAATGAGTATTTTTAACCGACTTCTATTATCATGGCTCAATGAAAAACATATATTACATGTAAAAATATGTAATTATCTGAAAATCTTTATTTTTGGACTTACGTTCATGTGGTTCTGATGTACAGAAATATATTGGTGCTCAATTGCTCAATCAAAAATATTTCAATAAAACGCACGTACACACCGAGATATGAAAACGTTACAGGAGGGATTAAAACTACAATTTTTGCACTTT